AACTTCCACAATACTCAGTTATGCCACTCCTGGTCATATTCCCAAAGAACTCTAAGACAGCACACCATATTTGTGCCTGGTACTCACAGTGGCCAGAAGAGGGCACTGGATCCCCTGGGACTAGAGTTACAGATGATTGTCAGCTGCCATGTGGGTACTAGGAATCGAACCCATACCCTCTACAAGAGTAGCCAGTGCTCTTAATTGCTGAGCCATCTCTCTAGGACCTTCCTCTTATTACTTATGAAACTCTGGCTTGTAGCCTCCCAGGACAGGTTGCTTGGCAGTCAACTCCCCAGTTCCTGCCTTCCTTGGAAGGAGAAAAAAAAAGAGACACAGCTTCTGTTTGGCTGGGGTTATGACTCCAGGCCTGCCAGCTCCTTTTGGTGTAGCTGAAGAGGCATGCAGACTTTGCCCAGCCTCTAGGGAGGTAAGGCAGAGGTTTGGGTAATTGAGATACACAAAGCTCCGTGGTGGAAGGAGTCTTCTAGCACCCTCTTGTGACAGATGGCTGCAAATACAGTATCTGCAGCTGCTCAGCCTGTCTGTGACTTGTTGCTCTTCATGTTCATTAGGAAAAACATGGTGTGGACTTAAACATCCCCCAGAATCCTTGGGAGGATGCAGGTACCAGGAGCAGATAGTCAGGAGCTTTGCTTGCCCTACCTTGTTCTGTGTTGAGCTGGATTCTGAGCGATAGGGTTGGAGATGTCCTTCACCATGGTTTCTCATAGGCCAGCATGCAGACAGTCTGAGGTAGAGGCTGAGATATGGCCATGCCTCTTTTCTGGCCACCTGTGTTGAGTGTACCTTCTCCACAACTTTTTTTTTTGTTCAAGGATTCCCCTCATGATGAAGTGGACAAGCTTGGGACTCAGGAGAGGCAGGTGTATAGGTCTGTTCCAAGTTTGAAGGTCTGGGAGCCAGGACAGCTGGTATGTAAGTTCTATGACCAATGCCCGAGGTAGCCAGTCAGGAGGACCTCCTGCAAGAGGAAAGGTTGGCTTTCTTGGTCTAGTCAGACCTTCAGATGATTGAATGTGACCCACCCACAGGAGGAAGAGAACCTACTGATTCAAATGTCAACCCATCTAGAACTCCTTCTTGTGTATGTCAGGGATAATGTCCACCAAACTTCTGGGCACCTGAGGGTCCACTTAACTTGATATAAGATTGTCACAGTTCTGGAGACCAGATGCTACATGTCAAGGTGTCAGTGAGTGGTTCCTTCTGAGGCTCAGAGGGAGAAGCTTGTCCTGGGTCCATCTCTAGAGGACTATTGAGTTTTTGCACTCCCCAGTAGCCTTGGGTTGTAGAAACATCTGTCTCCACACCTCCTTCTTAAGGCATTCTCAAGGCCCTCCCTAGGGAGGGCTTTATTGTCACCAGACCAGGCATTTGCCTTTCATTCTTCCTGATGCAGGGCTGGACAGTTTAGATAGGACACGAGGCTGGTCTACAAGCTGTCTAGATGAGGACTGGGGGAGCCTATATATACCAGGATGTCTTAGGAAAAAAGCCATGGGAGGGGGCAGGGTTCAGATAGGGCCATATTCAGGGATCTTGAAAACCAGTGAGGAGGCTCTAAGAAGCACCCACAGGAGGGGAACTTAATCAAATTAGCTTTCTAGAAAAATGTTTCTGTGGCAAGTTTGGGTTGTATTGAAGTGGGGAGGCCATCTTGGAGAGTCCTGCAGTAGTTTAGGCAAGAAACAGTGTTGGGAAAGAAGGGCCTCATGGAAGACACCAGTGCTGTGGATGCAGCTAACCTGGTAGAGAGCTTGGAAAGGGCTATTGTGGTTGTACATACAGTATACTGCAGAATTCCAGCCTCCCTACCCTTACCTCATTGCATCTACCTTAGATAAGTGCAGTGCTTGCCAGTTCCCAGTAGATGGCAGGAGAGAGATTGAAGAAGGCACCTCTGTCTACTTTGCCGAGTTCCCATACTGGCTAAGTCAGAATCTGTGTGACAGCTCAATTGGTCCATGGATTCTAGTTTTGAAGGGCAGGGCCTGAAGATGTCCAGCTCTGACCAGGAGGGCAGATCCCAAACTGGGTGTGACAGCCAGCTGATGCTGAGACCTTGGCCATTTTCTCCAGCTGATCACTATGGGCTTGGGGCCAGTGTCCTCTGGGATAGTCACCCTATAAAGGTTTGAAGGGATTTTCATTCTTGGTGATTTAGATAGGTGAATGCTGTCAAGGCTTCCTGGGGTTCTGCCTTGAAGGCAAAGCCGAGTCTCACCTCTCAGCTGGAGCTCAGGCTTCCTGCTCTTTGGAGGACTCAGGACCTCTCTCTCTCTGAGTCAGTCTCATATCCTTTTATGTAGCAGAGGCTGACCTTGAACTCCTGAATACCGCTCTTAGTCCTGTATTTCCATGGGCCACCTGAGCCTGCAGATTCTGGCCCAGCTACCCATGTCCCTTGCCTGCCTCGTATCCAACCCTCTGTTCTTTCTGTACTGGGTCTGCCATGCCCACACTTCATTCCTTTCCCTGGTGTCCAGCTCGTTTCTTCACAGCCGCAGTGGAGGAGCTGTGGTCAGCATGCTTTCTGGGCAGGGGAGGACAGTCCATTGCCTGTGCCTGCAAGGCCTTTGCATGCAGCTAGTGGTGGGTTGGCTTCTCACTGCTGCTGTAACAAGGTACCAACAATCTGTTGGCTTTACACACGAGCTGTCTTGAGTTCAGAAGTCTGAAAGGAGTTTTGTGGGCTGCAGTTAAAGGCTGGGCAGTACTTTGTTCCCTCTGAGGCTCGTAGGGAAACTTTCTGGCTTCTATAGTGCTACCCCCCCCCCCAATTCCTTGGCTAAGGCCATCTCCAGCCTGTGCTTTTCATTATCACCCACCTTTCCCTTCTCTCCTGTCTCCCTCTTGGAAGGGCACTCAGCATGACTCTGGTTATCTGGAGAATCCACGGTCAAATTCTCCATTTTAAGATTTTCAATTTAGTGGCATCGGCAAGTCTCTTTGCCGCATGCTGCAATGCACACATGTTGTCTGGGAAGCATCTCTCCTCCTTCCTGGGGTGTCAATGGCCCCTGGCTGCTGTTGGCCTTAGGGTGCTCACCTGTTTGCTATGACTTCTCACATCCTTCCCTCGGCACTCTAGCACATCTTCTTTATGAGTTTCAGTTTTTAATTAATTTTTGGAGTTGGCATACACAGTGATGGGTTTCCTTATGCCACATTCTCACAAATGTCCCATGCATGCCCTCCCCCACCCATGCTTTCATGTCCCATGTGTTCTAATACCCTCTCTTACAATCTCTTCCTTCCCTCTCACGGTTCCTTTTCTACTTTCATGTCAATCATACACCTTTAAATCCAAGTTCTGCATGGGAAGGAAAATGTGTCCTGCTTTGTCTTTCTAAGTCAGTCTTATTTTGCTTAATTTCTGGGTTTATTCACTTTCCTGGAAATGTTATGATTTAATTTTCTTTATAATTTAATAAAAATTTTTTTTACCTATCTGTCTGTTTGTCTGCCTGCCTATCTATCTATCTATCTATCTATCTATCTATCTATCTCTATGGCTCATCATCTGTGTGTCTGTCTGTCTATCTCATACACTGTCTTTATTTATCTGTTGGTGGACATGTAGGCTGAATCCATTTTCCAGTTATTATGAACAGTGCAGCAATAACTATGGATGGGCAACTAGCTCTGTGGTGTGTTGTCTTAGAATCCTTGGGGAATATGCTCAGGAGTGGCATAGCTGAGTCTTGTGGAAGTTTTTTTCCTATATTGTTTTTTATGAACCTGGGCACCGATTTCTGTAGTGTTTAAACTCCCACTAGCAGTGAGTACAGGCTCCCCTTTCTCCACATCCTTTCCAGCATCTGTTGTCATTCTTTTCTTGATGGCAATCATCCTGACTAAGGCAAGAAGGATTCTCAAGGCATTTTCAGTAGTTATGGGCCATTCAGGTATCCATTTTGGAGAAGATGTGTTATTTTCATCCGGTTGTTTGTTGATGGGATTATTGTGTTTCTGGAGATTAACTTTTTACAGAGCTTCCCTTCAACCCAACATTCCTCAAATTGCCTGCAGAGGGCACTGTTGCATGTGGGAGTTTTAGACCTCTGAGAAGCCTGGACTGCCATTGCTTAGTTGATTTAATCTTTTCAGCAATGTTTACAATGTATCTGGTTAGATCATTTGAGGGTAATGTGTTCAGAGCTAGGGTTTACAGCAGATGGACTCTGGCTCCACACCTGAGCTGTGTTCTTGGTCTTCCTGCCTCTCACAGCTTGACCTGCAATATTCCCCTCCCAAACATTTCACCTCTGCATGGTGATTCAAATTTGTTCCTCTTTGGTTCCCCTCACTATCCCCTTCCTCCGACACAGGGTCACTGTTGACAGACTGTGTTACATTGATTGGATAATGACCAGCCAGGGGTCCACTCAGAGATCATCTCAGAGACACCTGTCCTTCTATGTCTACATCTGGGGCTGGATAGGATGGAGTCTAAGACCAAGGGATAGTCAAACAAACCTGGGTTCCTAACCAGGTCTGAACATTTACTAGTTACTTGGCTGTTCACACACACAATCACACCCACCCCCAATTTTAAATCTAGATTCTGCAGTTGAAAGAACATGACAGGTGATATTTGTCTTTCCAAGGCTTATTTTGCTTAACATAATGAGCTCTATTTTCATCCATTTTCTTGCAAATGTCATGATTTCATTTTTCTTAACAGCTGAATAAAAATTCCACCATGCCTATGGGCCACATTATCTTTATCCAGTCATCTGTTGATGTGCACTGGGTTGGTTTTTTTTTTTTTTTTTTTTTTTTTTTTGATAGAGCCGCACTGAGCATGGGTGTCGAGTTGAGGTATGTGTTTACTGAGCGGCATAGCTGGGTCATATGATCATTCTATTTCTTTTGACTTTTTAAAAACATATATTTATTTAAGGTGGAGATAGGACTTGCCACAGCCTATGTGGCAGTCAGAACAATTTGCAGGAGTTGCTTCTTTTCCTTTCATAGGACAGTGGTTACATACCACAAAACAGTTGGCAATGCCTTAACTGTCTGCACGTTATTAGGCCAAAGACCTCTTCCATCTTTGCCAAAGGGTGTGCTGACCTTCTCTCCTTTCATACAACACATATTTTTAGTTCTCCCCTCTGAAAACTTGCATATTGACTTCCATAATGGTTACACAAGTTTACCTTACAATTAGCTGTGTGATTTTATACTATTTGCTTAACATCTCCATTTTGTACACCAGAGCCCATAATTTTTGTTATCTCACTGAGGTACACAGTGTCTGCTTTTGTTACAGTGACTTTCACGTCCAACACCCTGGGCTCATCTATGAGCTCACCCTGCCACTCCTACCATCCCTAGCCCTCCGTCTTCTCAGTTGGCCTTTGAGTTAGTTCTGCATTCCAGAGCTTTAGGTGAGAGTGCCTATTGCAGCATCAGGACCTTGGAAGCCACTGCCTACTCTGTCATTGTGTAACCTTTCACTATTGTCCCTTTTCTGTGGTGAACATTCCAAGCGGTCAGCACAGAGTCTCCAGTTCTTTCATGGCTCCTTTTAAGGACCCATTTTGGGGAATTTGAAGCAAGACAATTGACACGGACTCCCACTGTGGTATTCATTCCGTTAGTAACTTCATCTGTCTCTTAGGAACACTGCTGTTTCAGGAGAGCTTCTGGGAAGTAGTTGCTCTGGCTGACTCCTCCTGGCTGTTCCCAGGCTGCTGTCCTGGGATGTGAAAGTGGCCTGAAGTTCAGAGGGAAGATCATGAAAGACAACCTTTGGCCCTGCAGGAGTAAGAGGCTTGGAGGAGGGTGGAGGCAGCAGCAGGGGTTTTCCTCATCCACTGAAGCTGCAACCATCTCTACAATCGCTTTTCCCATCCCACTCAGCCTTCGTACAGGAAGGCTGGGAATCCTCATCTATGTAACAAGGACATTTTCTTCCATTAGTGAGGGCCTCTATTATCAAGGATGAGTAAATGAACATGGTTATTCTGGGAGAGTTAAAAGCAAATTGAGGACCTGGAACTCTGGTGGAGAGAAACCCATGGCAAGCTGAGTGGATGGTCACAGTGCTGTTCCCCCGACCCCTAGCAGCTGCCCTGTGCTTCTGCCTTCCATGGGCTTCATCCCAGCCAATGGAATAGGGTGGAGGCATGCAGACCACTTGCCTTGCCCCAGAGAACCCTTGTGTCTGAGAGGCTCCTGTGGCGATGGGGGGAGCCTGGGCGCACAGGGAACCTCGATTGAACAGTGATTCCTGCAACTGTTACGTGATCAGGTATAAGCCTTTGTCCCAGCACTTCCAGACCTCCCTCAAGACCTTTATTTGAGGATATCTTGGTGTTTTCAGTCTGTTTCTATTGCTGTGATGAAACACCATGACCAAAAGCAATGTGGGGAGGAAAGGGTTTATTTTGCTCTCACTTCCATGAAATTGTTCATCATCAAAACCAGTGAGGGCAGGGACCAGGAGGCAGGCGCTAATGCAGAGGCCATGGAGGGGTGCTGCTTACTGGCTTGCTCCCCATAGTTTTCTCAGCCTGCTTTCTTTTAGAACTTAGAACCACCAGACCAGGGGTGGCTCCACCCACAATGGCAGAGGGCTGGGCCCTCTGCCATCAATCACTAATTAAGAAAATGCCCTACAGGCTTGCCTACAGCCCAATCTTATTAAGGCATTTTCTTAATTGAGGGTCCCTCCTCTCAGATGATTCTAGCCTGTGTCAAGTTGACAGAAAACTAGCCAGAAGGTCTATGTATGTTGCTATAACAAAATACCATGGACTTGGTAACTACGAAGAGGTGAAACTTTTCTTTTTCAGTTCTGGAGGCTGGAAGGTCTAAAGTCATGGTGTTGGTTGTTTGGTGAGGCTCCTATCTCCTCTTTCATGGGAACGAAAGGGGTGATTCTCTGTCAAGCTCTTCTATAGGGGCATCTGATTCCAGCCTGGAGAGTCCCACTGTTATGAGCCTCTTGCCTGCAGAAGGTCCTGCCTCTTAGAGCTATGTATGCTACTACCATTCAGTGTCAATGCTTGGATTCTGAAGGGGTGCATCCAACCATTTCAGGGATAGTGTCTTTGCACAGAGTCAGACAGACACCTCATAACACTGTACCATTGGAATCAGAGTTCTGCGGGTTCCAGGCTTGTCAGCTGTGATTTCTCATGTGACCGTGATAGCTCTGGGAAGTAGGAGTCCCCACCATAGAAGGATATGATGTTATTGAGTAATTTGGGTTAAAATTAGATGCAGATTTAACTGGTGGAGGGGTTGAGTCAGAGGCCAGAATACCACCATCTCATTACAGCTTATAACATCCAAACTCACTGGTTGGAACCAGGGCTGGGAGGCCTTCTCTTTGTTAGCCCTCAGAAGGGAACATGATGGATGAAGTTGGAAACCTGGTACTCCTCCAGTGTGGGGACTCAGGACATTCACCTTGATCCTTCATGGAGGCAACAGGGTCTGTGATGAGATGAGGTTTGTTCTGACAAATTGTTAGGAAAACTGCAGAGCCAAGTGGGCTGGAGACCTAGTCCCTGTGGGGATGGGCCCGCCTGTGTGACACCTCTTTGGGGACCAAGAGTGCATCCTAATGTTTTAAGCCCTGTTTTCCACAGTGACCTCTGAATGAAAAAAAAGGAAACAAGAAAGAAAGGACATGACTGACTGCTCCCAGGCATGGTGGAGGAGAAAGTTTATTGTAGCTAAAAGGGAGAGCACAGGCAGAGACAGGGACATCTGGGAGAGTCCAGTGTGGACATGACCATTGAGCTGGGCTATGTGGGGAGAAGGGATGGGAAAGGAGAGGGGAGAAAGGGGAACTAGGTGCAGCAGCCAAGAGGGAAGGAAACCACAATGGCTGGATTATATAGGGAAAAGCTTTGGGGGAAGGTGAGCCCCAGGGCTGGAGAGGTAGGGGGTAGGGGGTGGGTATGCTAGCCAATCCCTGTAACAGGTAGGGACTGAGGAATGCTGGGAGAATCTGGCAACCAGGTCTGCTTTGATATGTTAAATAAGCATCTCAGCAATTTGTCCCAGGGTTTGAGACTTAACAACCCCCTCCCACATTGTGAGGCATTCACAGGAAAAGCTTGGGCCAAGAGGCCTTGATGGGCTGGTCCTCCTCCCCAGAGGGTAGTGGTGTCTCATTAGCACACCAGCAACTAGAGACAGGCTACTATGGGGAGGGCTGAATTTATGAATGAATGCATTGTTACATCCTTTTTTATTTTTAATGGTCTATGTAATCAGGCTGACCTCAAATGTGCTATGTAGCCAAAGATATTGCAGGATTGAACCCAGCATGGCTTTTTACAAGTTAGGTAAGCTCTCTACTCAATGAGTTATGCATGCAGCCACTCTATAAGGTAATATTTAGAGCCTACCATGGTCTAGGTACCGAGTGAGGCCTTTGAAGTTATCAGGTGAGAAAGTCTGAGTAAGACTGTCTCTTGGTCTTAGTGAGATTGTGGGATCCAGTGACCTGGTCCAGTGAACAGCCGGTTCTCACTTGCAGGGAAAGGTGACTTTATATGATGCCAAACACATGGAAAATTTAGTGAGACAGCTAGGTATCTCAGCCATCAGAGGACAAGGCTATGATGATTGGAAGCTTGATGTTAACCTGGAGGGCATAGCAAACCTCAAACCAGAACTCATACAGGAAGCCAGGGAGTATAAGAGCCACCAGCATCCTCTGGATAGGGCATGTGGGTGATCTGCAGCAATGTCAGAATGATAGGAGCAAGGGAAGCGGAGGTCATGGGTGTGTGGATATATGTTCTTGGGGAAGAGGAACTCTTAGGGAAGCAAGCTACTTTGTCGGTCAAGCTTGCTTGCTGGGGAGGAAAGGAAGGCAGGGGAATGGTGGAAGAGCACACCCAAGAGTTCTGGTCACTAGTCACTGTTGAACAGGACCTACTGATCATGAAGCAGCTGCTCACCCATGAGCTTCTGGGTGATTCTCCTGTTTCCACCTCCCATCTTACCTTCTGAACAGGGAGGTTACGGTGTGTGCTCCCATGCTGACCTTTTCTGTGTGGTCTGTGTTGTCAGGCATGGGTGGCAAGTGCTTTAACCCACTGGCTTGCCCTGGGCCGACTTTCTGAGATGCCCCTTTCCTCACGTGTTAGTGAATCTCTTCCTCAAGCCCTCCGTACTGGAAGGGCCTCTAGACCTGCTGTTGGAAACCCTCGCCTCTCTTCCCAGCATCTGGCTCAGCTACTTCTTTGGGGGTCGGTCCAGATCCCATTATTGAGGAATAGTAAAACTCAGTATAGTGGTTTGAATGAAAATAGTTCCAATAGGCTCATAGGGAGTGACACTACTAGGAAGTGTGGCCCTGTTAGAGTAGATGTGGCCTTGTTAGATAGAGGAAGTGTGACTCTGGAGGCTGGCTTTGAGGTTTCAAATGTTCAAGCCAGGCCAGTGTCACTCATTTTTCCTGCTGTCTGCTGATCCAGATATAGAATATCTTGGTTCTTTCTCCAGCACCAAGTCTGCCTGTGTGCCAACATGCTCCACACTATGTTGACAATGGGCTAAACCTCTGAACTGTAAGCCAGTCCCAATTAAATCTTTTCCTTTATAAGAGTTTCTGTGGTCATGGTGTCTCTTCGCAGCAATAGAAACCCTAACTAAGACACTCTCTAAGGCAAGCATGAATAAGGCTCAACCATTGTCCACATCCTAATTCCTAGTACCTGTGAAATTAATATTTATAGGAAAAATGGTATTGGTTTGTTAATGAGATGATTTAAAAAATGGAAATATTACTCCAAATCTTCTGTCTGTACTCAACATGCAGAGAGAGTCTTTAAAACAGAATAGGGAAGGGGGAGATGGCCATGGGGTGGCATGGGAAATACTTGGCTTTGAAGGTGGAGAAGGGGTGTAGCCAGGCTTAAGATACTGGTAGTTCACTCATTCCAGCACACCCACTTACCAGCAGGAACCCAGCATTGTGGTCCAGCCCAGTGGGTCCCATCTTGGACTTCTGACCCCTAGAACTATAAAATAATAAATATATAAGTTTAGCCACTGGTTATGGAAAATTGCTAAACCAGCCACAGAAAGCCAGCATGTCTCAGTAATGATATAGCTGTAGTCTTG